ACCCTCTTTAATTAAATAATCGCTTTTATCTTTAATAGTTCTTTGTCCATTGTACGGAATACCTAGACCATGGCTAGGTCCTTTAATGCGCCAATCTTTACTCGTAGAAACATTAAATTCATTACAAATACGTTCGAAGGCCCTCTTATCATAATTATTATTTGCGTGATTCCATGCTGGATCCAGCGGTAATGGAGCATTAATTTCTTTAAGTATAAGTCTAATCTGATAGACAGGTGGCACAGGTGGTACAGGTAGTGGCGGATCACTGCCTACGTCGGATGGTATAAAAGAGTGGATAAAAAAGCATTTAAAAGCATTAGGTTCAGCACTGGGAAAGCTCGCTGAGAAAGCCGCGGCCGCATTTCCCGGCAGTGTTGTTTCCTGGCTATTGAATTTATTAGCTAAGACCACCACTTGGCTTAGTCAAAACTTGTGGGCACTGATCGTAGCAATTGCAGGGCTGTTGTACGTATCCGCTAAGAACTATTTAACCAAATCATGAGTAAACCAGCCGCGACTCCACCTAATACAAGCGCTGTTTTTTCATCGATATGTTGTTGATTTAATCTGATAGTACACGTGAAATGATAAAACAGACTTATTTAGTTCAAATCCTGGGGCATAAAGAGATACACCACATCCTGTTGTGGCACACCATATGGCAAAGTTTAACTGGTTCTGCCAAAATTGCATCGGATTTTGAAACCAATCGTGAACCGTTTTATCGCTAGTTGTCGTGACACTATATTTTTCAAAGATATCAGGGAATTCAACAACAAAAATTAACACCAGAGGCCCTTGCTAAAAACAACTGATTAGTAATGTAAGTTGATTTCATATTTAAATTATGATATAGTATCTTTGTATATTTAATATGTATGTTACACTCCCGGGAATAACAAATGGTCAGTCTGTTCAACTGCTTCATACTATCGATAACCTCGGATGGTCAACTTGAAGTCACCCTATGCGATGTAACGTCTTACCCACGGTGGACCAATATAAATGATGCGAGAAATAATAATTTGTATTTAATAGTTGAATTTGGTATTGATCACACTAAGATTATTATACCTAATGGGTATTACAGCGTATGTTCACACAATGTTGAAATTTTTAAGCCTTTGGGAAAAAGTCTCACACAAGATGAGTCGAATGGGATGCTGAAATTAAGCGCTGGAGAAGAGAATTTACTTCTTGTCGAGATCTTAGCAGAAACACTTGGATTTGATGGTAGAAAGGGAAATATACCACCCAACGATATACTGCATGGAATTAAATTACCCGATTTAGTTCCCCATAAAGAGTTGTGCATCCATCTTGATCAGATCAGTATGACGAATGATATTCAACTAGAAAGTCCTTCAAATCTGTTGAGAGCTATTCCAGTCAAAGATGAAAAATAAAATAGCGGTAGAACGGAATCTTTCTCATCATTACAATATAAAAAATTAAAGCGGGGTATTATTTCAGATCTCAAAATTTCTGTATTAGATTTAAAACATCAACCTGTACATATAGGATACTTGAGTGTAACACTCCATATTATAAATAATGGTTGATTTCATATTTAAGTTACGATATTGTATCTTTGTATATTTGACATGTATGTTACACTCCCGGGAATAACAAATGGCCAGTCTATTCAACTGCTTCATACTATCGATAACTCGGCTGGTCAACTTGAAGTTGCCCTATGCGATGTAACATATTACCCATGGTGGACCAATATAAGTACTGCAAGAGAATAATAATGAGATAATACTAATTGATAATGACAATAGAAAAAACACTCCCATTATTATACCTGATGGGTATTACAGCATATGCTCACTCAATGATGAAGTTTTTAAGCCTTTGGGAGTTATTATCACACAAAATGACTCGAATGGGATGCTGAATTTTAACGCTGGAGAAAAGGAAGTAGTTATTAGATGGAGCTTAGCATATACACTTGGACTTGCAAACTACGTAGGAGGAAGAGTAATATTAATACCAACCAACAAAACATCGCATGGAATTAATTACCCGATTTAGTTCCCTATAAAGAGTTGTGCATCCATCTTGATCAGATCAGTACAACGGATAATATTCAACTCGAAAGTCCTTCTACTCTGCTGAGAGCTATTCCAGTCAAAGATGAAAAATATAATAGCGGTAGAACGGAATCTTTCTCATCATTACAGTATAAAAAATTAAAGCGTGGTATTATTTCAGATCTCAAAATTTCTGTATTAGATGTAAAACATCAACCTGTACATATAGGATACTTGAGTGTAACACTCCATATTATAAATAATGGTTGATTCATTAGGTCCTGGAACGCATAACCTTAGACAATGTAATACAATTGCGCTTTCCGATCTCGGAGACACAGAAGGATTCGGTAAACCCGGTATCGATGGCAAGTTATACGCTTTACAGTTACAAAATAATGTATACAAGCGGACAGAAGTTGCATTCACAGTTAATCTAAGAGACTTAAGCGATGTCGACGTTAGTAGACTCAATAAAAACACTTCATATAATCTTACTCGCAATGATGATAATAAATGGATTATGATCGAAGCAAAAATCGAGTGGCTACTTAATATCGTCATTACCCCACCGTATGTGATGATGGGTAAGGCACATAATTTAACTAAGATAATAAATAGTGGGATCGTACTCGGGGCTAAACGAAAAAAACGAAAAAGTGTGTAAGTCTCTCCCCTGCCAGAAAACCCAGGTCATATGTTATCAAATGTTAGTTTAAGTTTAGTTACTGAATTCAATGATATAAAACAGAACTTGAATGCCATACCTGATCTTTCTACAATTATTATTGAAGTCTTGTTTGGAGATGCACCGGTAGATGCCTTCGAAATATTACCAGGTCTATCAATTAAATGGTTTAAAAAACACCAACGTCAACGTTGCAGTACTATTTATATGGGAGCATCACCCGTTGCAACCCTTGAGGGGACCCAAATTATTAAAGGTGATAGCATTTCTCTTACTAAGATATTTATGCTGTATAATATACATTTAATAAGGCTGATGTATACTCTCAAAACAATGAAGCAAGACCAATTGAAGACAATTATATGATATAATAATATACATTATGGGTTTATATCCGGCTCGATGAAGCATCTGAAAAGATGGATACTGTTGATGGATTTCGATTACATCAAATAAGCGACATAAAACATCGAATAGAGAAGGAGAGGGAGTTGAGACTTGGATTGTATAAAAATTACCACAGAGCCGTGAATGCTCTCGACGGAGTTGACACCGCGCTTGTAACAGCTGGCATGGGACTCGGTGTAGCCGGTGTTGGTTTATTATCAACTATAATCGCCGTGCCTATCGTACTTGGTATGGAAATAGCCGCCGGAGTCTCAGGACTGGCAGGAATAGCGATAAAATTCATTTCTCGTAAGTTGCAAAAGAAAGCATTAAAACATGATAATATTCGGATACTCACCGAGCAAAGTTGAACAGCATTGAGGACCATATTTCAACAGCAATGGCTGATTGTAAGATATCTGAGGAGGAGTTTCATTTAGTGGTGTCAGAATTCACCAAATACAACGCAATGAAGCAGGAGATTCGAACAAATTCTCATAAGACCAGTGGTATTAGCGAAGACGAGGAAAAAAAGTTCATAGAACAGGGGAGACAACAAGCGCGTCAATTATTCCGTGCCAAAACCAAAGAACTTGTTGGAGATTAAAAATAGATTGATTCCTATCGTTGGATCACATTTAAACGAATGTTTACATATGTATATAATAATGGAGAATTACAAACACACAAAGGAAGAACTCGAAAAAGCTATCAAAGCATTTATGGGACAAAATTATCAAATGGAGAGAATTACCACAGGGTATATATTATATCAGTGATGTCAAACCAACCAAATACGGTCATCAATTGTTTCTTTCCAATTACCAAGAAGAGTATATAGTCTGGTCTCCTAGTAAAATGAACGAAGAACTTAATAATGGTATACGTATTAGTAAAAATAATAGAGAATATTTTCATTACAATTTAGTTTAGTCACATCATCGTTTTTGTACTAAAAATTCCCTCTATGGTATCAATGATTGGCTCCAGGTAGTGGTGAGCTAGAGCCAATTTAACTTAATCTCAAGACGATCGTTGAATCGCATCATCATTTTGACATAAAAAATTCCATCTGTAGTGGTGGTATAGGTATATAAATCTGACTCCAATGGAAGTGATCCAGAATCCCCATTACCTATACTACTTAAGCAGTGAATGCATTAAGGAGTAATGCAGGATAAATAAAAAATATACCGAATAGCTGCGAATGTGAAAATTATAATGCCTACATATAATATGCAATTTAATGGGTCTTACCTCGTGAAGTGCATTCAGTCTGTGTTGCAAATCATAGTCGTCTTTATTGAGCTTGTTCAGTATCGCATAACACTGGAGGCAAATTATCCGCGACAGTCCATCATCAGCATGTGGATTGTAGCATAAAACTTGAGCAACTTGATTACCAAATTGAAATGACTTTGAAAATATCTGTCGACAGCCAGTTGAGGGTACACTTGCTTGGCATATTCTCCAATCGAGTGAAATCTGCATGGCAGTCGCCATGTCTTTTCACGAACTGGATGTTGATTTCGTTAGTGAGTTTTGATTGGACTATGCAAAGACTTGTTTGTCCAGCCAACCTCCATAATCGCAGCCTAGTTCGGCAAGGTGGAAATTGGACTTTTGTATGAAGTCAGTTAACACCTTTGCCGCGGGAAGATGGAAAAAAGAGGCATAACCCACCTTCTGCAAGCCCCCTCTGGATCGGCCATTGGATCAAATTTATGAAGTCCATTCGATTGTTGTACCTGTTAAGACGAGATAATACCTGAAAACAAATACAAATGTAGTCAAATTTACATTTGTGAGGTGAAACAAGGATTATTAATGTTATTTGTGGTTGTTCATGTTCCATCTTTGAGAAATGTTTGTATTTATCTATTCAGAACTTGCCTAATGAAGGCATGTCAAGAGGGCTCTATCAACATGGTCAGGATTCTGTTAGAGTTTGGTGCAGAAACAACTCACAAAGACAGTAAAGGTAAGTATAATTAAAATTCTGTTGTTCTTCATATTATGTGAGGAAACAACTCATTCATTTGGGTCAAAGAAAACATAAATAGAAAACATGAGAATTTTGTATTTCTCTTTAAAAAACCGAGCACAGCATGCTGAATTCCTTTCAAATAGAATGTATATTAAGGAATTAGACTACCGTATATGACCGCGTATAAGCCGAATTTTGAGGACCAGAAAAAAGATTCTGTAGAAAGGGGTCGGCTTATCCACGGGATACACTTTCATGATAGTATTTTTCAGATCGTGATCTGTCAGAAACATCGCCTGAATGACGGTCCGATAGATTACAACTTCCCGAAAGTTTGGAAGTTGCCACAACTAGAGCCATTATTGTTATAAATTATCAATAAAGTTATTATTATACACCAATGTTGTCATTATTAAAAAAATGTTATGCATGTTACTACTTCCGATAATAAGTTTTCAATTGAATGTTCAAAGTTTATCGTTCTTCGTCAACTCCACAATCTTTACATGTAACAATATACGTAATTCACAGCTATAATATATAATCCCCAGATAAAATCGCCAATAGCTATTACGTACGTTTTGCAAAGTTCATAAATTGATAGTGAACAAGTGTCTACCTTTATTGAAAGGGGCAAATAAACAACTGTATTGGCGAGTTATTCCGTTCGCCATTTGCAAAAACATGTGATCAGCTGTTTCCTGTGACGTCACAAACGGTGACCACTGTGATTGCTTCCTGTTGTTTAAAGCAACACGGTACACAAGGAAATCAGCATTGATAATAACGGGCCGATTGCTATTGTCATGTTGTTTACACAAACATTTTCAAGTTGTGGGTGCTTAGCGATCGTGTTGGGAGTAGGGGCTTAATTCCTTTGTTTTCGAGAGATTAGTTTAATAAACTGGAAAAGCCTGTGAGTAAGTGATGGTCATTCAATGTGTTCATAGTATGATAGTTTATTTAATTCAATTGGATTAACATACAATAGTGGTGTAAAGGGGGTTATAAAAGTTGGTATATTTTTACTGACTGACATTTTCATCATGAGTTTTAAACGAAAACGCCATGCTTACGATGCTGAATTCAAACTGCGAGTTTTCGCTCCAGCTGATATATTTTCTCACGGGTTCAGAATTCTATATACACCGATTCACAAAATGGCGCTTGGTTGTTGATGGCAACTATAACGATCATTATGAGATTAAAAAAACCCACGAGAAACAGCTTCCCACATTATGAAAGTGGATGACTGGTTTGTTAAATCTTTATTAGAAATAATAATGACTTTTTCAATATAATTACAACGTTTTTCATCTTATATTTTTGAATATCTGCGAGTACCGGCACATGTCTTGCAGTCCGACTTCGCAGTGTTTTTTGTCTTTCAATTCCTGATTCGGCTTATCTGCGGGTCATATCATTTTCTTTCGTATTTCAATGGTCAAATTAACACCTCGGCTTATCTACGGGGTCGGCTTATCCGCGGTCATATACGGTAATTTCTCTTATTCAAATTAGCCACAAATAAGCCAGACTCCATAGTTTTTACTGAATGAAGTTTCAGGCTGTATCATTAGCTTACCTGACTGAGAGACACATCAGCTTCTGCCATGGCTCGGATTTCTGGACCAAAGCTTGATGCTGGAACTTCACTTTGTTCTGACCAAAGATGAAATCCCAATGTTTTGATCACCCGACTTGAAGTCATGTGAGCTTATATACCTGGATGCGTTGTCCATCATTAACTTTTGAATTTTCAACATTTTCTCGGAAACTATTACATCTATGGAACTGAAACTTATTATAAATGCTACCAACTATGTGGTGCTCACAGAAATGTGATTTTAAACATGGCCAGCAAAGCAGATATATTGAAAATGTCATTTTGGGCATAAAACTCTTTTCTGCATGTATTATTATTGAAATTGCAAGCGTTTTTTTAAAAAACATATGTTTTGTTTCTAATGTTTCTGCATTGTTGAAAATTCTTCTGTGATACTTTGCTTATGTTATCTCAGCAATAGTGTCATTAACATTGTGCTCACAATACTCTTGATATGATTTAAACATAATTATGTACATGGGCATCACATCTAACACCTTTTGATACAGGAGGTGAGGTAAAATGGGGTTTAATGTTGCGTCCAAGATTATTGCACTTATATAGCGACGTGCATGCACGTGTGTGTGTTTACAGACATTACAGATGTTACAGGACTGTGTACGTTGAAAACATTCATCACACCTTGGACTGTGCTTGACTTACCCTGGTGTGTTTGGACCCATTTGGTCATTTTTCTCTCAATCATCAGCGTATAACTGTGGATTACATTCATGGGACTCCCTTTATTCTTCTTCTACTTGTGTTTGAACATGTGTTCTTCCTACTTATTTTTGTCCATTCCATGTATAGATTTTAATCTTCTCCAATTCCATCCTTTGGGGGCTCTTGGTTGCACACAACCTCATTTGGGCTTTCCATGCCCTGCATACTGTATAGGAATGGCTTGTGGCCCCAAAAGTACCTTTCTTCCAAATTTACAGTCCAGGGCCGGCACGGTCTCAGGACTTGTTCATTACCCGCAGGGTAACTAGCATTCATTCAATCAGGTCAGCACGACCCTTACCTCTTCATTCATACCCGCAGGGTTTTTCATTCATACCCGCAGGGTATGTCTTTTTATGTAGCAACCGAGTAGCCCCTAATATATTGCCAATGTTATTAATAAATATTTTCATGAATCCTATTGTTTTGTTGTTACTGCACAAAATGTAAATTCTATGTTTTTGTTTGTGCAGTGATAACATATATTTTCTACATTTCCCATGTTCCTAGCTTCACGACGTCCCCTGCATGTCCTGCCATAAATATATTTGCTCAATATCCACTTATGTATACGTATCATTTATTCTCCATAGTAATTCCCAGCTCACTTCCAACTCCCCTCACGTAAACAATACTCTGTATCATGTTACATTTAGGCTATCCCACAATGCACCATTTTATCCTCTGCTCATGCCCAGAACTACGGACATGACGTCACAATGTTTTCTTATATTAACCCCAACAGCCTCGATATCGTTTACCTATTTCTGTCATGTTTATAGCAGCTGCAGCGATACCCTCCATCCATCCCCTGTCTCCACCGTTGGGCTATTCGGTTTCATATATTTCGTATTTCTTCGTAAGGGCTTCACAAGTCATGTTTTTCATTCATACCCACAGGATATGTCTTTTTACGTAGCACCGACGGGCTGGGCTTCACAAGTCATTCCATGCCCTGCATATTGTATAGGAATGGCTTGTGGCCCCCGAATTACCTTTCTTCCAAATTTACAGTCTAGGACTTGTTCATTACCCGAAGGATAACTAGCATTCATTCAGTCAGGTCGGCACGACCCTTACCTCTTCATTCATACACGCAGGGTTTTTCATTCATACCTGCAGGGTATGTCTTTTTATGTAGCATCGGTAACCGAGTAGCCCCTAATATAGCCTCAAACACTATGTAGAAAAGCTTTTTAAAATTCTAGAAGTAAAACAATTCTTATACACATATTTCTTTCTTTCACAAGAAGTGATAGAATATTTTAGCAATAAATTATGGTTGTTCAGCTTACTTTATGCAGATTTTAATAATTAGACATAACCTACATTTATTTTAGATTACATACAATTTTTTACTGAATAGAACACTTTAAACATGCTGTATTATTTCAATACAACACCAAATAGTGATTTCAACTCTCTTCTTTGCTGACCTGAGCAGTTCTGCCAGTTCATGTGCTGAGAGAGTATGCAGGGTGATCAAAGCATGCAGTTTAACAATAGGTGTTAGCTGGCCAATCAGCATTTAAAACTGCTGGCCATGGGGGCAATAAGTAGGTTATACAGCACAGATACACTGTGTTATAGCTGACTGATAACACAAAATCTAACTAACAACTAATTATATATAATAAATATATGTAAAAACCTGAAATGAAATTAGAACAAATATATACAAAAACACAACACCGGACACATCTCTGAAAGGCACCCAGTGACAGAAGAACAAAATAGATTTATGGCAAAGGTCAGATGTTAAGTGCGTTGCTTTGCGTTGTCCTTCTCTCCATGTGCAGTTTTCCCTGCCAACATGTCCTGTGAGGCTCCTGCCTGGGTTATCACTTAAAAAGAATGAAGTTTAATAGAAATTTTATTATTAAACAAAAATAAGGGCCAAACTCAAAAATCTATATAAAAAACCTATATACTAATCCCCTTTCCCTGCCTTCTTAAAACTTTGCAATCAAACTCTTGAACTTTATATTGTTTCCACCCCTCTAACTTACATGGACAGGACCTCAACTGTTCTGAAGTTTTGTTTGAAAACAATAGCTGATAACCCCGAGCCTACTCGGCTCTGCTCACCTTATAACGTGAGACATTTTCTGCTCCAATGACCACACTACAGGTGTAGGCTAATAACGTGACTGGACATTTATCTTGTTTATAAACAAACACACTGATTCTGAAATAAAAACAGAAGTAGTATAGGTAATAGGGGTTCTGGACCACTTCCACTGGAGTCGGATTTATATACCTATACTGCTACTACAGGTGGCATATTTTATGCCAAAATGATTATGCGATTCAACGATAGTCATGAGATTAACCTTTTCGCCCCGACTGCCCGATTTATCGGGCAGCATAAACCGTGTCCCAGTACCCGGCTGCCCAAAAAATCGTGCAGCTACTGTCCAAGCCCCACACACGGCTGCCCGATAAATCGGGCGGCACGACCGTGTTTACAAAATCGCTCTTTCTACTTCCTTTCTCGTGTGTAATCTCGTTCTAAATATGGAAACAAGATCTACACGTAATGACATGTCATTCGATGGAATTTCCCACTCTTTTTGGCGCGAAAATCACGAATGTCACCTGTTTTCGCGACAGGTATTTTTCTCGCTTGAATCGTAAACCTAGCGTAATGGCGGCCAACTACGATTCGGATAGGGATCAGATGACTCACAACGACTCTATCTGGAATAATAATGTGTTTGATTTGAATAATTTACGCGAAGGGGAGAGGGAATTTCGCGAATATTTTCGTGAAGATTTTGACGGTTTTGACGAGGTGTCCCCCCCCCCCCCCGCCAACTTTCAAGAATGGGAGTGGCAGAGGGACCACAACGATGGAGACATGAGGGATTTTGAAGAGGCGACCGGACTCAAGAATATATATTGACACGGTGAGTGAAGTATCGTGCTATTGATTTTTTCCAACTGTTTTACAATGATTCTGTGTTTGAACAGATTATCAGTGCGACGAATGAGAATGCAGCCTACATGTGAACGAGCGATCACAACAACAAAGGTGAGTGGCATGACGTATCTCTTTTCTTTTTTTTTAAACTTAATTTTCTGATCGCAATCCGAATTGTAGTTTGCCTGTTTGTCGTATGTCCTTATATTTCGCTCAATTGGAATAAAATTTTTTTCCATATTCATGTTTGTTTTCTTGTTTTTTACATCTTAATTTAAATTTTAGTAATTGTAATAATTATTTATTTGTTAATTGATGTAATAAAGTACTGATTTAATTTATTATGCAATTGTAAATAGCAGTTTATTGTAAATTGTTATCACAACTTGTATATTTGCAGAACTTGAATTTACAATCTTTCCGTCCTTTTACAATCTTTCCCTCCTTTCAGATCAATCTGTGATATCTTCTCTGTGATGTCATTCTTATAGTAGCTGTGGTTCAATGTTCAGGTAATGTGATAAATTACTATTTTAAAACTTAAATACTTAATTTTTGTTTCAAATCCTGAAAAAGAACAAAATAAATCAAATATTTGTGTTTTTACCTGTGTTAACGAGTTTACCTAAGAGGCTGTAAGTGTATCATAAGTAATATGTGACATCAGTATAGAAAACAAAGTCAGTACCAAGAGTTGTAAACTTGTTTATTTGTTTACAGATGTGCATGAAGAGAATTTACCTGTAATACCTGGGATTACCTGTGCCGTCCAAGATGACAAGACCACTGTGTTATGTTTACCTTGTATCTGTGATTTATTTTTGTGATTTGTAATACAATTTGAGCCAAAATTCATTGTCTGTTTTCATTTTTTCAGTGTTTTCAAGTTTTATTTCACTTGTAAACACCTGTAATTAGAAAATAACAAAGGTTAGAGACAATAACAACAAAGAATATTACAGTATACTTAATCCTCTTTACAATGGTATATGATAAATGTATATTAAAAGCAAGTTTCTGGTAGAAAAGGTGCATCAAAAATGATAGTGTGATTTTCCAATAATACTGCCAGGGAGGCCAGTGTGCAGGCCTTGTCAGTGTCAGGGACTGCAGGGTTTCAAGGGACATAACTCTGGGGCAGCCAGTGATGAAAGAGTTAAGTTAAATTGGCTCTAGCTCATCAATACCTGGGGCCAATCATTGCTTCAATTAGTATAAAAATGATGATGCGATTCAAGGAAAGTCATTTTAAAAGAAATATCAATATTAATTAATAATGAATAAAATTTACTATAGCCCACGAGGATATTGGAAAGGTGTAGGAACAATAAAAAAATTAGCCACTGCGGCTAAGGAATCTAAAGATGTGGTCAAGGATTGGTTAAAGAAACAAGTGATGTGGCAAATATATTTACCGGCACCGCGTTATATACCGAGGAAGAAGTTTGATATTTTTACAACGAATGAAGTTCATCAGGCTGACCTCTTGTTTCTTCCCCACGATAAGGTAAAACGCAAAACGTATAAATACGCTTTAACAGTAGTAGATGTGGCTAGTCGATACAAAGAGGCTGAGCCATTAACCTCGAAAGATTCAACAGAAGTAGCTAATGCACTGAGCCGCATATATAAACGCGGACCGCTAAAATGGCCTAAGCTATTTTAAGTAGATCCTGGTCGCGAGTTTATGGGATCGGTAACTAAACTGTTAACAAAGCACGATGTCGAAATCAGGCGTGGTGAAAGAGAGGCCCACCGCAGTCAAGCTATCGTCGAAAGATTTAACAGGACATTAGCGGAATGTTTGTTTGGCTATCAGTATGGGATCGAAATGAAATCCGAGCGATTGAGATCAACCGAATGGGTGACACGATTATCAGCCGTTGTATCAGCGCTGAATAATGAAGTAACGAGATTAATAGGGAAGAAACCATCCGATGCTATTAAAATGAAATCCGTGACTTCCGAATCTTTAGCACCGAGGAGAGGCAAAGAACGAAAACTTCCGGATAGAGTAAGGGTAAGATATTTATACCAGCCCGGTGAACTTGAAGGAGGCCTACGTCGCACAACCGATCCCATATGGTCCCTTAAGACGTATAACATAAGTAGATTGGTTATGGAAGAAGGAGAGCCTATTCTTTATTATCTTAAAGATGGACCGGGCAGGGCATTTGTACGAGAAGAGTTGTTCATAGTTCCCGACGGTACGGTATTACCACCATAACCATAAGCATAGGTAGTTACACCATCATTATCAATCCATCTCTTTGTATCTAAGGGGGATAATGATGTCTTGTTCATTCTTAATCCATATATCCTATGATTGTAACTTCTTAAAAAGTTCATCTCGTGTTTGAACGTTCTACCGGTGAATAATGCTTCTTTATACTGTTCGTGTTTGATATGCTTTTTTTACAACATACTTCTTTACGCCCTTAGCTTATCTCATCTCCCCATTATCGGACTTTTTTATAGAATACATCTTAGGTCTTAATCCTACATACTCCGCTATAGGAGTCCCAGCACATTCATCCTTCATCTTACCTAACACCTTTTTATTTACTACCCTGTGCAGTGGATTATCTTTTGGGTAATCGCTCGTGTCGTACATATCTATTTTTTCTGCCATATCTTTATACACATCCTCGGTTTGTATTTCCATCAACAAAGAATCTGTGTCGGTATATAACACCTCGCATCTATCGCCGTATTGCTTCTTAAGTTCGTTGTAATAAAAGTCATACATTAAGTGTTTTGACAAGTCGAGAATACTCATACCGACGTACACCGGTCTGTTGAATTTTATATTACTCTTCTGCATATGCAACGCGGCTAAGTCGTTATCGAATATCTTGCTTCTGTTAAAAGCCGGACTGGCTATAAGTTTCCTGAGTCTTTCTTCCTCATTAGATCTGACTAATTTAACATCAACACGCTTCCTTAGATTCTCCATAGTTTTATTCATAACTTCCAGAGTTATTCATGAGCTTATACAGATTCTTTTCGAAATCGCTGGTAGCTATCTTTCTTAAATCTGTGTTCAACCTTATATAGGGCTCCATCCAAGGGCTTTGATCAAACTTTAGAACTCTGTGTTCTAAGTTTCATACCTAACGATAGATACAACTGGAGATTTCTGTAGTGAACTATATATTTTGTCTTATCCATCAAATTTGGTACGAGTTTTTGTCCCCCGCCGCGCGAAAGCGCGAAGCGGGGTATATAGTATTCACGACCGTCCGTCCGTCTGTACGTCCGTACGTCTGTCTGTCCGTACGTCCGTCCGTACGTCCCACCTGTTTGTTGCCGCGATATCTCAAGAACTAAACACTAGATTGTCTTCATATTTGGAACTATGGTGTATATACAGACTCCGCAGACACCAGTCGGTTTTGGTAACCTTGAGCCCATTTTCAAGGTCACATCAGGCATTTCTGCTTTTGGAGTTGGAAAACGGTGTTGCCGCGATATCTCAAGAACTAATCTCTGGATTGTCTTCCTATTTGGTACTAGGGTGTATATACGGACTCCGCAGACACCAGTCCGTTTTGGTGACCTTGAGCCCATTTTCAAGGTCACAGCAGGTAAATCTGCTTTTGGAGTTGGAAAACGGTGTTGCCGCGATATCTCAAGAACTAATCGCAGGATTGTCTTCATGTTTGGAACTATGGTGAATATACAGACACTGCAGTCACCAGTCGGTTTTGGTGACCTTGACCCCATTTTCAAGGTCACAGCAGGTAAATCTGCTTTTGGAGTTGGAAAACGGTGTTGCCGCGATATCTCAAGAACTAATCGCTGGATTGTCTTCATATTTGGTATTTTGGTGTATATACAGGCAGGGGACATTTCGTCACTTCTGTGACAAATACTTGTTCTACGTTAGCTAACCTACTATTCCCCATCAATGAGCATTGATATTCCAACATCCAATCTTTATTAACCATTAATCTTTCCGGAGCTAGCGGATAACTGTTATGGTCTTTATGTGACGAACTTGGATATTCCAAGTCAACTTCTAGTATGTACCCTTTATTGGCATCATTCACATTGATATTATTGATATCATTCACTTCGACCCATTCAAAACCACCCGTGGGTAAAGGTTGACTCATAGCCCATCCGTACAAATTGTTAGCGTCGAGATATAATATGTGCGTGTCGGGTTTACTCGGATCGTATCCTTTCACTAATTTATTATTAGCCTTAGAATTCCTTTTAGCTGCCATGGATATACCACCTCTTAATCCTTTCTCAATAAACAAATGCATATCGTAATCTGTGAGTAGTTTTAGTTCTACGCCGGTCTTCTTAAACAATGCATCCCACGATAGTCCGGGACTGGAATAGTACCATGCCGGGTCCAAGCCGTATTGTTTTAAACATGTCTTTCTAAATATCTCGAATATATTGGCGAGTAACAGTACATCGGTTTTTAAGTACAGATCGTGATAATCGCCTAAATTCTTACCAATCCTCCATATATTCGTAAGGATATACACCTTTTCTCAGCAACAAAAGACGAGTTATCTTATCGGTATATTGATTTGTTATCGCAAAGTCATCGGGATTGTTCGCATTAGCTAAATTGTCCAGGGAAGATAACAGAAACTGTACAGAGTCTATGAATCTAAGCCCATTACTTTGCTTTATTCTAGATTTCCCATCCTTGTCCCTATAATGTATAGGTTTAGTCAACGAGAACGATATGTATTTTTCCATATTATTAGGAATGCACGTTAAACCGCCGTCGGTCTTTGAGATAGCTTGCATAATGAGATGTGAATCGTATCCCCTAAGGTTATGAAACACAACGGGGATGGGTATTGTTTGAGAATTCATTTTTAGTTTCAAGTTACACTCGTTATGCACGGCTCCCCGATAATTACCCGTGACGTGGCAATGATCTCTTACGGAATCCCCATCCAGGGGTTTATTACAAACGTGACAACTCGTTGACTTCTTATGGGCCCTCCAATCATCCCTCCTCATACACATGGGTTTCTTACACGATAATTTTTCCCTGATTATTCTCTCTTCATTTTGTAGATATTCTAGGAACTTTCCCGCTGCATTGGGACCTCTGTAAATCACGGGCGGGTTTGTTTTCCCATCATACCTTATAACTATATATCCAAACCCACAAGGAATATGTTCTTGAGTTTTGTACGTAAAACTACTATCAGTATTGCTATGGTTGGTATTTTCTATGGGTTTGATAAGCGCTTCGAAGTCGGTGTAAATTACGTACGGTACTGGCATTTGATTACAATAATGTTCAAATTTTAATATATTTTTTCCCTCTTTAGGCATATCGATCCTGATAGCGGTCTGTCCAACACCCGTACAGTCTTCTTTATGCGCTTCTAATAGATCTTGTCTGCTGTACCCATGTAGGCATCTTTCGCAGAAATATTTCTTTCCCTTATATTTAGTTTGATCGTATAATAGCCTGTTTAAACTCTTTATCCACGTATAATGATATTTTCCATCTTTTTCGATCAGAAATGAATTGATTCTGGGGATATGTTCCGCAGGGGAGCTTATCCTGTGTACAACAATTCCTTTAGATTTAGATCCATTTAGATCGTTTTGGGGATTGCTAGAAGGTCTATCCGGATGCTTGTCTACGGGGAACAATGCAGATCTTATCATCATTCTTAAACAGTCATCGGATTTATTTTTTACGTTAATTATGGCTTTTTTCTTCTTATAATACGGGGGTAAATCTATATAAGATCAACCTTTGA